TAACAATTTTATTAACAAGCAATTTGCCTAACAATCTTATTTAGTCATTATTTTCTTGAGTGAGTGTGGTTGGAATTAATTTAAAATACAACTAATACAAAAATAAATTGAGGAAGATTAATTGAAAGTAATATGGATTGGTTGACTGAACTTCCAGATTCAGGAAATTACAACTCTCATAAATATTTTTTCTCAAAGAAAAACTAAGGAGACCCGACCTTCTATCTAGATCGGTGATTTCATTTGGCCGAACCAGCTATCGAAAGTCTTGGAAGCTAGCAATCTATACTAAGCTAAGCGAGATTACCGTCTTTGCCTCACTGTGGGTCAACACCTCTGAAATAAAATGGAAGACTTCATTTAGTGGCCCTACAATCGCCTTTTGAACTATCAGAATAAGGTAAAACTTAAAGATAAGGTCCAAGCCATATGAAAATATCTAGTTTCTCTCGACCTACACTAAGCTAAGCGAGCTCACCGTCTTTGCCTCACCGCGATTCAACACTTCTGAAATAAAATGAAGGACTTCATTCAGTGACCCTGCAATCGCCCTTTGAACTATCTGAATAAGGTAAAACTTAAAGGTAAGGTCCAAATCATATGAAAATATCAAGTTTCTCTCAAAACATATCTAGTTTAAAGAACTAGGAGTTATAACATTTATAAAAGGAAGAAAAAAGTCAATATAATTCCCACACATCTCTCCTAAATTACTAAAAGTATTGCAATGCATAATAATCCACTAATATTTATTGCTTTGAAAAGTAGACAAGTTACGTATCATACTAACCATATAGAAATTCTTGTACTATAAATTTGAGTGTTTTTCCACTAACATTTTCACCAAGCTAACAACAATATTTCACTTTCTTTATCAATTTGGTGTTAATTTTTCAACTTTTATCATGGAAAAATCAACTCTTCTTCCTCTTATCTTCCTTGGTCTACTCTTGAATTATCCATGGATGATTTTAGCTACTCGTTCTGTCGATTTTCCAGATCATAACACGTTATCATCGTCAAATGAAAAATCCACAATAATAGTTAATCATCCTAACAAAATATCGAGTGATCAACAATATATGGTGGATTTTCATGATGTTCCAAGTGGTCCAAATCCTATTCATGACTGTGGAGATAATATATGTTAATGCACCATGACCTAAAACTACTATAGGTACAAATAATAATTTGCTTCTATGTTTGTTATGCTACTAAAGAAGAGGTGTTGGTAACTTTTTGTTATCACTATATGTGTATGAATATATAAAAATGATGAATAAACCCTTTTCGATTTGGTTTTGATGAAATTGTTTATGCATATTTTACATGAATGACAAATCACTATCATTTGGTCCAAATCCTATTCACCATCACTATCATTCTCGACACAAATTAGTATTACCTTCTCTCTTTTCAATTGTAGATTTGAATGTGTCAAAGACGGACAATTAATGTTGTTTTGACAATTTATTGCATGATTAGAATTCGAACAATTCATCTAAAACAAAAGTGATCAATGTAGGAATTTGTGTTGTACTTCTATTCTTGCTAATATTTTCATTTTATGATCAACATCGAGCATATATGAGAATTTTCTTATCGGTTAAATAAAAAACTGAGCCGCTAGGACCAAAAACCAATAATAAATATCTTATTGGTTTAGTTATCGATTTAACATATTCACAAATCATAGTATTGCTATATATATGTATTACTATAGATGGTTATAAATAAAAATTATCGCTAAAACCACTAATTATTTTTAAAAAGTACTCATCCAAATAATGTTTTCAAAAAGAATTACTATTATAAGTTAATAATATCTGATTATACTGTCTTAAATGTTAACATTTTTAATATTGTTCAAATTAGAAGTCAAATTTTAGTCAATTTAAAGTACTAATTAAGTAAAGACCAAATGACAATTTTACGGAAAATATATATATTTAAAAAAAGGGTTAATTTATGTTTTTCCCATTCCATGTCAAATTTTTTTAAAAAAA